CTGACGGTGCAGAGCTGTTCGCTGTGTTATTATCTTTTTTAAAGGGCGGTAGGTCTTCATACCTTTTGTGATGGCTATGCACAAAAAAAAAAAAAAATAAACGTGCAGAAGGCTTTTGTTTTTTTAGTGGGTTTTTTTTTGTTGTTGTGGTGTGGGGTTTTTTCCCCCAGCCGTGCCCTAAGCAGCAGGGAAGACTGTAGTTAAAGATGAGAATGGTGTGAAAGACTGATGCTGAAAGGCAGCTCACCGGTAAGGGTGACTCTTCCTATGAAAAGAAACCTGTTAAGGAAGAGGAGGATGTGCGGCATTGGAGAGCGTTGGATTCAGAGCTGGAAACGGAGCCAGTAGCTTCAGGGAATTGCATAGAGCTTGGCTGCTGCTTTGAATAGAGGTACAAAACGCCCAGCTGCTCCTCAGGGTACGATGCTGCACTTCAAAAGTGCCTTTGCAAAGCCCGTGCTTTGCTTTGTTTGCGTTGCAAACCCCCCGAAGAATGCAGTGCCAGCTCCTGGGGTAGCTTTGGTGGACAGCTTTGGTCCTGGAATTTAAGGTGGCTAAATTTAGGGCAGGGCCAGGATGGGCAAAAGATAAGCACTTCCTTACCTATCCCGGGATTAATTTTGTGTGCCTTATCTGCTAAATTCTTAGACACTTTTGTTATTTAAATTGTTACACGGGCAGTTCCGATAGTGGTATTTAAGAGTTAATCTTTTTGTAACTTAAACAGGGGAAAGCTGGATCTAAATTTAGATTTAGACGGCTTTTTTAAAGCTCCCTGTGCATGCTAGATTGGCAGTGCACAACTCTAGGCTATAGGAGTCTCTCGTTAATCCAAATAATTTACCTGCTTGCTTCCTCTTACTTTTACCTTTGGAATGTGGTGGTGGCAGATTCTAGTCGCACCATGTCCAGCCAGATGTTTTCCAGCTGGGTGCAACCATGATTTTTACAACTTTTATTTTCTTTTCTTTCAGTGTAGCATATGAAATTGGAAGCAAAGCCAAATGCTTTCTGATGTGTGATATTGGTTTTCCAGAGGGAACTGAATTATTTGATCAGTTTGGAAAAAAAAAAACCCCAAAACACACCCTAAAACAACAACAACAAAAAAAACCACCAAAAAAAACCCCAATAAATAAAGGAGATGTGCCAAGGAGAACTGAAAGCTCATATGTTTGAATGTTTAGTAGATTTAAATTTAGTTATAAATGCTCTTTGGAACATGACTGCTCAATAATTGCCCATGAAATGAGATCAGCATTCAAAAGCACCTTCTGAGAAAATCCACCTGGCTTGTTTTCTTCGCCTGTGTGTAATCCTGAATGTTAGCCAAGCAGATTAAAATAAATGCCTTGTCCAGTAGCTCTTCTGTTTCTAAAAACTGGAAACTGCTGTAAGAAGTCGGTGATGAAGGAACTTTGTTGGTGCTAGAAAGGAGGGTGCATGTGAGTGGAAGAGTTGCTCGCTGTTGTAGGCAGTTCTGTCGACTTGGTGTCAGAATGAGATGGAGCTTGAGTGTTTTTGCAGTCTGTGACTTCTCTGATAGTTGGAAACCTGCACTTGCCTTCTAGCTGGGACATAAAGCATATTAAAATGCCGATTTGTGGTAATGCGTAAGGATCTTAGTTCAAAAAACTAAACGTTTACTGAAGTGCTTGTTTGATAAACACTTGTTCTGGAGGAAATACATCAAGTATTTCTTGGTTCTTGGAGCCAACAGAAAACCCTGTTGCTAATACAGCTTGAGGAAAGTATTTGTAATCACTGTTTGATTGTACAATTAAAAGGACTTAAGGCAGCTCGATGTGAAAACGTAATCTATCTTAATAGCAAAGCCTGGGCTTACGATTTATGCCACTTGGCCCTGGTGAGATTGCGCCTTGGCGAAAGGAGCCTAGGGCTGGAGCAAAGCGCTGGTGCACACGCAGGAGGATGTTGAGGAGGAGAGCTGGATGTGCCGTGCACAGACTGTGGACGTGTGAATGATGCACCTGCCCAGGGCGTTGAAATGGGTTTTGCTGTGAGCAGCCATGCCTTGCATTAGTGGTATTGAGTTCAGACAAGGGGTCTCTGGGCAGGTTACCCTGCGTCTGTGTTCACCAGCTGCCTGCTGAGGGCACATCTGAAATTACCCTGAATAGAGTCTTCAAAGTAGGATGCAGAAGAGAGGACCAGTGGGTGTGAGAACCTCTGCTGCTGAAGGGCTGTATATAGACTGCTGCACACCATGGGATTTTCCAAGCGAGCAAGCAGTGAGGCACCCGGTACAGCGGTGAGGGTAGGTCCTTGGCACCCCCAAAACTGAAAGCAGCTGTAGTTGCCTCAGTGGAATAGCCTTCAGGGATAACTGTTTGCTTTTTAGCAGTCTGGGCTTTTATGTTACAGAAGCAAATGTTAACGCTTGCCTCAGAAAAACAACTACAATCTCTTAACAAAACTTATTGGTTTACGTAATAATAATAATAAAAGTCCTTCCTACCTATTTTGTATCTGCTGGTTCCAGCTTGGAGGGGTTAGAAAAATTCTGATGTGCTAAGTGCTGGAGCGAAAGCCGGATTTTTTTGTACAGATGAGTGAGCTCCCTGAAGTGTATCACAAACGTGTTTGTGTTTCACAGTGGTAATTTGTTTGAAACGTCTCCTATAAGAAAAAAAAACAACTTGGAAATGCTGCTTATTGTCCATTAAAAATAGGAGAACAAGCTCTCATATTAGGTATATAGTCAACTTTGGTTTCTTTTTTTTTTTGAGAGCAACTGCCCAGTTTGGAAAAGGTTGGTAAAGTGAAATTTGTGATGCGCTTAATCTCAAATTCACTTCCTCTCACTTGATTTCTCCTTGTCTATTCCCAGCTATCCACAAAACAAACATTTTTTACTGACAAGATTCGAAGACTTGATTGTTCACTGTGGTACCAGATTTTCCTTAACTGCAAGTTTTGCCTCCAAGCAAAGTACAAGCTTGCATGTGCAGCATAAATATGCCCATTTAGATTGTCAGGTCACAAGTGCTGATTTGTTTGCCCCTGTGCTTAAAGAATATCTTTCCATGAGGTTGCAGGGTGAAAATGACTTTGATTCCACAGCAGTAAAGAAATGCCTGCTGTTTGGAAATGTAGTTAAGTTTTATGTTGGTCACAGCTGTGGTTTGTGGGAATCACTTTTAACAAGAAAAAGCTCCTTTCCTCGCTGTGTTTGTTGCTTTGCTTCAAGGAGAACTAGGGAGCAGGGACCGAAGGCCGTGGTGGTAGGATAAGTGGAGGCTTGTCCATGGTTTTACCCCTGCGGTGGCTTTGGTTGGCCTCTGTCGTCCCCAGTGGCTCAGGAGTGCCGTAGCTGGCTGGATGTGACAGTGACGGGTCAGCAAAACTCTGCTCCCACAACTTGCCAGTGGGGAAGCGATACAGGCAGAGGCTTTGCCTAAAATCTAAATACACCATGGAAATTCGCACTGCGTACACGACAAATCTGCCCGCTGCTGCCCTGCTGCGGGACTGGCGCTGCCAGTCTCTGCCCTTATGTGTTCTGGCTGCAACTGTGCCACGGATTTTGTGTTGCTGTAGCTAACTTAGCTTTTGGGAGGATGTTATATAATTGAGTTTCAGTTGAATAATTCATACAGACGCACTGCTGAAACTTGAAAAATTCCTAGTGTTTCTTCTTATTTTTTTTCCAGTTACATCACGGAGTGGCTGATTTTTGATGAGTCTGCGTGTTTTCAGCCAACGTAAATTGTTTCTAAATGCAGTTCTGTTAACAGCCACGAATTTAGCTAAAAGTTTAAACCTCTGCTTAGATAAGATTCTTACTGAAGTTAGGAGAAGTCTTTAGCAATAACTTGGTTGTGTTGAAGCTCGATCTTTTTTCTTTTTAACTTCTTTTTTTTCCTTCCCTGAGCATTGAAAACTCCATTTGCAGTTTAGTCTGGTTTAGCGAAGCCTACATTTTTAAGGCTCTTAAATGCAGAGCTGTGCTACATGGCTCAAAAAGGGAGTATGCAAGCAAATATATGCATCAAGAGCACTTGAATAAAACATAATGTTTTGTTCCAAAAATTCTCTTAATATGCGAGATATGTAGTGCAGAGCAGGGAGAGTGGGAGAAGAGCACCTGATTGAAACTTCTTTACCACGCTTGCAGAAGAATCCTTTTTTTTTTTTCTGTATTGAGATACGACATCCAGCTTTAAGTGTCAATTAAATATATTTTTCCATGACTTGCATATAGAAGCTTGCAGGGATCTGTCTGTCTTAATGCTTTGCAAAGTTATGTATTTAAAGCTCTAGTTTGATTGTCATCATGAATTTGGATCATGAGGCATCTCTCACTATCTGTCAGTTTTATTGCCAGTCTGTGCTAGTGCACAGCAATTGGTGTGATTGCATTAATATGCACCAAATCGAGTCTCCTCCTTTCTGTGTAATAAAGGTTGTGAGATCTGAGGCTTCCCTGTTTTGTGACAGAGCTGTGAAAAGGCCTTTTTTAAAAAAGACATAAAATACGTAATCTTTCTTGTTGTTTCGTTTCAATTGGGCAAGATAGAATATTTTAATTTGAAACACACGTTGTCATCCTGTTCAAAAGACCTCTGGCCCCTTTCAGTTTTGCATTTTATTGCTAGTCCACAGGATGGTTTTGGTGTTTGCGGGTTTTCTATTCCTATTTTCAGTGGGGAGTTCTGGTTATACCTTTTCCTGCCACCCAGGAGCCCAAGATAAAGCTGAATCTTTCCTTAACCTGAGTTCCGCAAGCAGCAGGGATGTGAAACTTCGCATGACGATAACTGCTTACCTGTAGCCGCCTCCGACTAAAACTGGGAAAACTAATGAGTGGTGTGAGGAGCCTTGGCTGCAGAATGATGTCCCTTCTGCCGTCGATGTCACTGCAGATGCACTGAGTGCTCGTTGCCGGGCTGATGCCCACTCTGCTCTGCTCGCCTGGGCGGTGCACTGCCTCACCCACGTCTGCCTTATTGCAGGGAGTGGATTCCCGATGTCCTGCCATGGATGATGACAGCCAGGATGAACTGATAAACAAGAATGCTGCGCTAGGCAAGGGCAAAAGACAGAGTCTTGTGCTCCTCAGTGAAACAGGTAAGTGCAGCATGTGCATGTTTCTGTTCCAGGTTGGAGAACACACGGGCTTAACCTCCAAAGAGAAGTAACGAAATATTTGTGACTGTTTATTTATTTCTGCCTGAGAACTTTTTTGGTTTGCTTCCTAAATTCTGTATCTCAAACTGCTGTCGTGCTTGCCTTGAGTTTCTCAGAACAGGCAGCTTTGACATCACTGAGGAAATCTGGGTTACCACTTCATAGATAATGTCCTGAGCAGGAGTTCTGGTGTGTCCTTCACTGTTCTGCCTGTCTGTCTGCATCAAATAGGCATTTCCTCTCCTCTTCTCTTTTCAAGAAAGCAATGGTGGAAATAGCGGTGATTCAGAAGATGATACTGGAAGTGAGGAGGAAGAAGATGACACTGAGGAAGAGGGAGGAGAGGAGGACAAGGAAGAAAGTGAAGATGAAGAATTAGAAGGTAGGTCTGTTGATGTGTGTTAACAGGCACTTTTTTAATAACTGGAGGAAGAGTGGGGTGAAAGCTTTTCCTCCAGAAATTAACCATGAGATGTAAATCCACAGATGCTGCTGCAATGTCCATAGAATCATAGAATGATTAGGGTTGCAAGGGGCCTCCAAGATCATCTAGTTCCAACCCCCCTGCCATGGACAGAGACACCCTCCACTACACCAGGTTGCCCAAAGCCTCATCTAACCTGACCTTGAACACTTCCAAGGATGGGGCATCTACAGCTTCTCTGGGCAACCTGTTCCAGTGCCTCACCACCCTCAGAGTGAAGAATTTCTTCCTTAGATCTAATCTAAATCTCCCCTCTTTCAGTTTAAATCCATTGCCCCTTGTCCTATCACTACATGCCTTTGTAAAAAGTCCCTCTCCAGCTTTCCTGTAGGCCCCCTTTAGGTACTGGAAGGCTGCTATAAGATCACCCCGGAGCCTTCTCTTCTCCAGGCTGAACAGCCCCAACTCTCTCAGCCTGTCTTCATAGCAGAGGTGTTCCAGCCCTTGGATCATCTTCATGGCCCTCCTCTGGACTCGCTCCAGCAGCTCCATGTCCTTCTTGTGTTGAGGACTCCAGAGCTGAACACAGTATTCCAGGTGGGGTCTCACAAGAGCAGAGTAGAGGGGCAGACTCACCTCCCTCGACCTGCTGGCCATGCTTCATCCATTCATGTCCAGATCATACAGTAATAGACAAACAAGTAATATTCCTCAATTTCTAGGTTTTTAAAGCATTTGTATGTTCAAAGAGTATCCACTAGCCAAAGTGGTGTAGTTGTAGTCAGTAGGAGTGAGCTCTGCCCCAGCATGGGTAGAAAAAAAGCAAAAATTGCAGCAATGGCTCATGATATTTTTTTCACTTACGAAAAGCATGTTTGATTGCTTGGAGCTCTAAAGTGAATGTTGTGATGAGGAGTTTTGGAAATGAATTACTATTCGCTGTTAAGCCTAGGGAGGAGGGAAGACGACTTCACTAATTTTCCTTTGAAAAAGGAATGTGGATGTTACTTGGATTTGTTAATTTTACTGAAAATGTACTCTGTAGATGCATGTACTTCTGAAACTGCTGCACTCAAATTGTTATTTGGATAGACAAAAATAGTTTTTTATCACATCTTAAAGCTTCTTGGGAAGGCAAGAGTACAGTTTTCCAAGTTAATAGTTAAACTGATTTGAACATAGACTAAAAAGTTGATGCGCGGTGCCAAAACGCTTTGTTAATCCATCGTTTAGAGTATTCTCTGCTATGTCCAGACAGGAGAAGTCAATAGAAAAGACAAGGGCCTCATTTACATTATTAAAAAAAAAAAAAACAGCAAAACAACAATAGCTGCTCCCCTCCCCCCTAAAAAAAAACAAACCCTAAAACCCAAACAAACAGATAAAATCCTGGACAAAACAAACAACCCCCAAATAAGGGAGAGTGTTTTTTAGGTAACTTTTCACTGCTTCTTGAAAATGTTAATTTAATTCACAGGTTTTAAGGACAGACTAACACACGTCTCTGTATTTTACACTAAAAATAAACCCACCATTCATCAATTTTACTCAAAACTAACCTTCTTTAAGCAGTCTCCAGGTAGACACCCAGATCTCTTGACTCTCAAAATCAGTTTTCTGGTGAAATCTTCAATCTATTCTTCTGCAGTTCAGTGTGTTGCTGCTTCTTATGCTCTGGAGTGTCTATTTAAAAAAAAAAAAGTTGGATATGTGATAACTTTATCATAATAAACCTTTATTTTTTAACTTCAGTGTTCAGTGGTAGCCTGACATATCCTACTCTCCTGTTGTTTTGATAATCTGTTGGTTTTCTGCTGTCTGTCCTTTTAATCTCTTGTGAGACTAGCCATGTTATCAGGCTTTATTTTTCGCCAGAGTAATCCGTTGCTTTTTAGTGAAGAGATTTAGGAAAAAAGAAAACAGCAAAAATTATTGCCTCGAACTGGGGAGGCTGTGCTTCACCCTTGCAGCCCCATAAAATAAACTTCCTTGGAATTTTTTCTGAACTGGTATTCTATGCTGTCGACCTCCTCTGCCCTTGCTGCTGAAGCCCTGCACTACATGAGAGTTGTTTTTCATCTCTTGCTTTTTAAAGATTGCGAAGACGATGATGAGGAAGAGGAGGAAGAAACTGAGACAGTTGTGAGGGGAATGACTGATTCTCTGAAAGTAGAGCCACACGTAAACAGAGTGAGCGTTTCCTCTGATGAGGATGGTGAAAACTGCCCCATTTGCCTCAACACGTTTAGGGATCAGGCTGTTGGGACTCCTGAGAACTGTTCCCATTACTTCTGCTTGGACTGCATCGTCGAGTGGTCTAAGGTGAGCTGGTTTATCCCTGATGTCCTGTGGCCTTCTGGTGTGCTCTGATCATGATGCTCTGCTGTAATGAGGACGAAACACTGTAATATTTATGTTTGCTTTCTTAAGCTTTTTTACACAGACTTGGGTTAATGCTTTCTTGGGCAGGATTCACGCTTGTGAAGTATGGATCTGTTTTTGTTGTACTCGTCTTGAGCTGTTCTGTTCTCTGAAAGCTGTAATGTCGTAAGCAAGTGTGTTTCTAGGGCATCTAAAATCTTTTTTTCAAGTCAAGACACCAGTAATACTGGTTTTCTTTGTGTGTGTGTGTATATATTTCTCTGTTGAATTCTGTGTTGTGGCTGTTGGATGGGAGTCTGTTCTAGGGGGACAGTGTCATGCAATGTCTGTGTGATAGTGAACATTTAAACATAGTCACTGTTCTTTTATATCTTTTCTAAATCAGCAGTTTGCTCTGAATTCAGTTTTCAGTCAGAGTTTCTTGCCACCTAACTGTGTAGTTCCCACAATCATAATCCAGAGTGAGAAGTACAACAGCTTACTGTGCATGCAGCAGTACCAGTGGTAATTTAATTTAAAAAAAAAAACCGACATCACTCTTGCTGAATATATTTGTAAGCCATTTCCAGTTGCTCATTTGTCCAAAAGAAAGAAAACACTGTAAAACTTGAGCACTATTTCAAGGCAATTTTTGGAAGAACTTTGGTGTTGCTATGGCAATTGAATAATAATTCAATTGCTTTGGTATAATAAATGCTTTTCTAAAAACGCGTGTTTTCTCTGATACAATATGTCGTTTGTAAACCATGTAAGTCAAATTTAAGTACTTAGAATTAAAGTACAAATTTAAGTACTTAGAATATCAAGACTGATAGCTGTTAAAATGATTACTATGTTAATTTAACGTTTATTACATTACTCAGTGAAGATTTCCTTTCAAAAAAATATGAATCAAGAGATGTGCTTATTAACTGTATGGGGAAAAATGGATTTTTTTTTTTCTTTCTAGAATGCAAACTCCTGTCCAGTGGATCGAATCCTCTTTAACTACATTAGCATTCGGGCACACTTTGGTGGTAAAATTTTAAAAAAGGTGAGCTTTCTGCTATGGCAAACAAGGCCAATTGCCACAAAACAGCTATTCAGAGGTTTACACTTCTAGAATGTTTGTCTGGTATTTGGTATCTGGATGAATTATTTTTTTCCTGTTTTGAGATCGCCTTCTAAGGAACTGTTAAAATTTTTCTTCCGCTTTAACCACGTTTCCTGCAGTGTTGTGGATGGATTGAAGTGTGGCATAGTTTCTGATGGCGAAAAAGGTGGTTTTTGTAACTGCCTCTTTTGCATAATGGACTTTTGACTCTAAGCTTTTCTGCATTGGTAAGCCTGTCCACGTGGGGAAAACGCTGCACATACAAGTGCTGCTACAGGATGAATAGAAATAATTTAGGTTATACATGAGCTCTTTCTTACGTCTTGCTGCCAGCTATGCTGTGTAGTACTTGGGTTTGTAAGGGCAGAGAGACCACGGCAGCAGTAGAGCTCCTAAAGGCATGGGCCAAGTTGCACTAGGAGTCTCTCACAAAAAAGTATTAAAGAGCTGTCATTGCTCTTTATTATATCAGAAAAATGCTGGTCTCAGGGGACGTTTAGGAGTTTGACGTTCTGTTTTCATAAACTGGTGGTTTGTTATTAAGTGTTTGCAATTTAACAGAATTGCGAATTAACATTCAAATCATATGTTTTGGGGGGAAAGAAAGCTAAGCTTGCTTTCTTCTTTTGTCCTGTTTTTGGAGGTTTTTTGCTTGTTTGACTACTTTTGATCTCATTTGGGAATTTTGGTTTCGTCTGTTCTTAAAATGCATTTTTCTGTAGTTGATGTCTGTCAGTAGACAAGTTTAGTAGATGTTTTCAAGCATTTGATCATGTCCTAGATGTATTAAATGAACTAAATGAAGGTTCTGGTATGTAACAGCCATTTTGGTTCATTCACTTTCAGATTTTGCTGCAGGTACTGTTAATGTGACAGTGGATTTAAAAAAGTGCCTCATTCTGCATAAAATTAAATTATGAATCCTTCTTTTATTTAGATTCCTGTTGAGAACACAAAAACTCAGGGTAATGATGGAGAGGATGATCCAACCTTCTGTGAGGTGTGTGGCAGAAGTGACCGTGAGGATCGCCTGCTGCTGTGTGATGGCTGTGATGCAGGGTAAGAAAGATTGAATGAATGTAGCACCTGCATGATTGCAGATGGCACTGCAGGGCTGGCCACCGTTTGGCAGTCCTCACAGGCACTATCTAGTCAATGAGCTGCCCCTCGGTGCTCTCTTCAGGCTCATCGGTGGCTAGACTGGTATCCGTGTGCTTGTAGCGCAGACATCCCCATGATGTGATCAATCTTTTTCTGGTCATGTAGCAGCGTATGAGTGGAGAGTCCTGCACACATTAGTGCTGCAGACCACCAAAACAGGTGACCATGCCTTCAAGTGATGAAGATGATTGGGCTCATCCGTGCAACATCTGGGGGCACGGAGGATGAAAACCACATCCTTTACATCTCCTTGAGAGGGTGCGTGACTTGTCCCAACTGACTGGGCATTAGTGCTGTGCAGGAGAAGTGCTTAAAATTCACAGTTTCTTGACATTTTGAGGTCTTTCCTTTACAGCCACAGCTATTCAATGATTCCCTTACTCTTGTTTAGTTCTGTCTCTGCCTAACATATTTCTTTTTCCCCTCCCTGATTAATAAAATAAGTGTTTAAGTAGATGCATCAAGATACTCAAACACAACTTTGGGCCTACAGTCTTCTGCTAGAATTTAAAGCTCTAATACTGTTTAATCAGTCTTGCAGCATTGTCAGCTTGATGTCAAAAGTTACCCATTGAACAAAGAGAAATACTTGCTTGCAATGCATATATAAAATAATCTTTCAAACATGACTTCTAGCAATCTAACTAGACAACTGGTAAGTCTAGTTTTGTCTTTGTGTCCTGTAGAGTCCATAACACTGATTCACCTTCAGGAACATTAAATATTGTTAAACACATCCTCATGTCTTATTACTGCTTTTTTCCCCAAGTCTGATACAGTTTTGATTTTTATCTTATTTTAGGAAAATAAGTTCTTTACAAATGCTTGAATTCTAGAGTTAGAAAAAACAGTAGGATTTCCCTTTTTAGAAAAATAACTAAGTTGGTCGTAGAGATGTTGCTAATTTGAAGCTGAAACTGTTGTTTGAAGGCTGTGATCTCCCTGTGTTCCTTGCCTAGGCAACTTATTCTGAGCACTAGGTTTTCATGGGAAGCATCTCATTTACTTGGGAAATCTGTTTTAATTATTTTTAGTAACATAACTTGAACATGAGTCGCTTCAAAAATTCTATGCTACTAGCACACGTTGCTTTGGCTGGGTTTTAATTGCCAAAAATGGAATTGAACAAATTACACAACCCAAGTTGGGAAATGTTAAAAGGCTTTCCTAGGTAGCTTCTCTGTACGTGGCTGGTGAGACTGTTCAGTCCACCTGCGAGCCTGTTGGGTAAAGAACATTTCAAAAAGCCTACTTAAGGTAGCATCATGCTCCCTTCTTTCCCTTTGAGATTTGATAAGAATGAGCACAGTTCTCTGTCAGATGGTGTTTGGAAGTCAGTGTGGTTAGTCTCCAGTCCTGCAAGCAGCTGTATGAAACCAGTGACTGACCAGTGCTCTGCAACCTAGCTTGTGCAGTTATGCAGAAATCTTTACCAGCAGTTGTCTTAATCGTGCCAGGTGTATATGGGATGCAACGTGTTCATTCAGCTTAACAAGTCATTGCAGTTGACCTGTGTCTGTTCATGCAAAACAAAACGTTCATAAGTACCAATAACGTTAATACCATGTTGTTTTGCAGGAAGCTGATGTTTCCTGGTTGCCTGTCTTTCCTGCACCTCCATATTTATTTCCTTTCTCTTTGCTATCATCAGTGTCGGCTCTGTACATTTGCAGCTTGGGTTCAAATGGCAAGCAATACACCACACAGTGAGGGAAAAACGCTCACTTTTCTGAGCTTTTTTGAGCCTAAAGAATCTAGAATTGAAGACCCTTGTATAACTATCAGTTAGCATCGTTTCTTCAGAGACTGGTAGAAGGGGATGCGTAGACCATAGTTTCAAGCTTAAGAAAATGTCTGCCTTATGTAGCGTGTGGCTAGAGGTAAAAGACTCCCTTCCAAGGAGCACATTGTTTGATTTTTATTTTACTACTTTTTTTTTTTCTCCTTTTCTCAAGGTATCATATGGAATGTCTTAATCCACCTCTGAGTGAAGTCCCTGTAGATGAATGGTTCTGTCCGGCCTGTGCCCCCATGGGTGTCAGTGCTGCTGCAGGTAAGGGTTTTGTGGTATTTGGGCAAAGTAAATATTTTTTCTTGACTTAGATGATGTGAAGCATGTGCTGTTTTTGAAGACTTGTTTAACCTCTAGGGTTTTTTTTGTTTTAAATAATTGTTTTGATTGAATCTGAAGAGTTGAGTTGAACTCTTGACTGATAAGAGAATCTTGTTTAAGATTTTCATTCGCGTTTACAGCCTGTGGACCTGCTTCTTATAAGCATTCTTTAACCTTCCTGAGGCAAGCCCAGCACCTTCGTGCAGCTGCATTGTATTACACTGGAAAGAATTTATTAGTATCCTGACCTCATATTGCCAAGGTAGCAACAATTTCTGTTACCTACAGATCATCTTCCTGTGTAACAGTCTGAAGCAGTGGTATCTGTGCTTGTTTCCTTCTGAGAGGATAATGTCTGCCTGTGGAGGTGACTGGTTTAACAAGGGGAATACTGATTTTTTTTTTTTTTTTGTCCAAAATTCTTGAAGTGCTTTCATCTGTAGAAAGACGACTGACCCGGGCATCTTTTCTTTCAAGATGCAGATCATGTCAGTGAAGAAGAGGTTGCTGCTCTCGTGGCTGATGTTATTCCTACCACCAGTAGGCTACGTCCTCATGTCCGAACCCGAGCTATAGCCAGAACTCGGCAGAGTGAACGAGTTAGGGCAACAGTGAACAGAAACCGGATAACAACAGCGCAACAAATTCAGGTATTTAGGAGTATTTGCTAATGAGCCTCTGGAAGAACCTTGCGGAAGTGTCTCTGTTGACACTAGCACTTTGTTGTCCATAGCATAATGGTTAGTAGCTGTGGAGTTCTTTTAAATGGAGATGTAGAACATGTGCAAATTGAGTGCAGCACATGACCAAGACGCTCTATTTTGAAATCTGCAGTAGTTTCCTCTCTTAATCTGCATTTTTATCACCTCATCTGTGAGCAAAATTGTATTTTTCTTCCCAGTGGCTATTAATGCACAGTTTGTGCACCACTTCTGTTTTTCTCGCATGCTTTTTTGCAGAGACAGGGCGTGTTTATTTGACACTTGTGTATTTGCTTATTTGTCCTCCTACCACCTTTCCCATAGCAAGAACCTGTTGGCCACCTTCAACTAAATTGAAGAGAAAAATTTAGTATTTCTAAGGTTTCTATGTTTGTGAGAATCAGCTTCTTACTGAAGAGAAGAAACCGAGATGCTAGTGTCCTCATCAACCACATTAACGGGTACCAGAGAATCTATGCAAGCGAGTATCCCAAATACCCAAGGTCCCTCAAATCCTTTACTCATTGAACTTTTTACTAAAGATGACTGCAGCCGAGATGTTTCTGAATGTTTCTGTTGGCTGGGACAATTATGATCCTTTAGGCAACAATTAGTGTGATGCAAACTGAGAACTTTCGAACCTGGGGATCTCCTGCCTGCTTTGCCCTCTGGCTTTCAACAAAGCAAAAGCACTCTGTCACTTGCGTAAATATAAAAAGCCTTAAATTGCACAGGAGCATATGGTGACTTAGCAGAGCCTGTAAATAACCTCCATGGGACTAGTGATATGTTAATTAGTTCTTCATTAATGCTGCTGTTGAATTTGGCAGAAACATGTGAAAATCTACGACTGTTGAAAAGAAGAGGAGGATCTGACTTGACATAAGGAAAATTGTTTTTCCCTTGGGGATGGTCAACCATGGGAATAAGTTGCTTGGACAGTTTTTGAAATCTCTATCTTTGGTGGGTTTCAGCACCTGCCTGAAGAAAAAAAGCTTAACCAACCTGGTTTGAATTCAGTGTTGACCAGTGAACAGAAAGGTCAGACCCTTCTGAGGGACACCCCAAGATTATGTCCAACCTGAATTACTGTGCGATTCCATGAAAATAGACCTGGTTTCATCTGACAATAACATGCTGTTTTGGTTTTGATTGTATAAAGTCTTTTTTTTTTCCAAAGATAGGAAAATATGGAAAAGAGGGAGAAGGGAAGAGAGGGTAAAACTAAATATTTCTTCAAGTCAGCCAGTTGGCTGGGGATTTCAGGTTGGGTCTGCTGTAAAGGCTCTCCTTGGAGTGTGAAGTGCAGGCTGGGAAAAGACTGAGTTGAAGGTAGAAGGTCTGGCAGATCAAGCTTTCCCTTGTAATCCAGTTATAAAGGTCAGATGGGAAAGAAAAAGGAAATGCACTTGAGATTGTGAAGTGCATCAACTTCATGAGCTACACTTTTATATTCTGTAGCTTCAGGCAGAAGAAGTAAAGGTAAATAAAGACAGACTTAAGGGAAGCAAAACAAAAAGCTGAAATCTAGGGGGAAATTGGAGGTTTTCCATTATCTTAAAAAAAAGATTGGGAAGAGCAGTCTACTGTTAATTAGCTCCTCAGAGTCTACCTGTCAAATTTCTCATCAAAATCATTGTAAGTGAGAAGAGAGAAATTGTAGCAAATCCCAAATGATCTGAATTATAGCAGTAAGTAGCATGAACAAAGATCTAGCTTGCCTTAAGTTTTTAGTATTCCCCCCCACCCCCGCCCCTTGATTCAAGGACTTCCCAGAGTGCTATAGTAGTCCTCAAATTCGTTATGTCCTCCGTGGTGGAGGTCATCTTATCTGGTTGCCAACTGCCCTGTCTCCAAACCCAGGCCTTTTAATTTCAACTTCAGAAGAATTAAAAAAATAGAAAAACTCGATGAATGATTTGATGCATTGTTGTTAAGCAATTACATGTAAGTCGTCAGGGCTATATGTTGAAAAAATTAATTGTACAATAATGCTGTTTGAAGCGAAGGGCTGTGCAAGGTAACTGCAAGTTCTTTC